TCGCCCGCCCTGCCGCCGTCCCTCCCCCGCCAGCGCTCGCCCGGGCGGGAACCGGCCCCGTGGGACCATGGTGGAGACCAGGGTGGGGACAGCATGGGGACAGCGGGGCTTTCGGAGGGGCAGAGGCAGAGAGAAGCGGCCGGAGGGCGAGAGGGACAGAGGCTGGCGGAGACGGGGAGCCGCGGAGCAGCGCCCCCCACGGGTGCGGGGCCGGTCCGGGCCAGCCGGTACTTACCCGGCGGGCGAGCGGCGAGGCGGGCGCGGAGGAGAGAGAGAGAGAGCGCAGCCAGAGAGGGGGGGACCCGGCCCTGGAAGCAGAGATGGGGCGCGTTACCCCGGGGCGCGGGGGCAGAGCCAGAGCGGGGGCGAGCAGAGGCAGCGCGGCCGCGGCAGGCAGAGGGATGGGCAAGGCGGCACGGGCAGGATGGGGATGGCAGCGCCGAGCTGCTGCAGGTGGGCAGGGCACAGTGCGCCCGGCCGGCAGGACGGGATACGGCACGCAAGGCAGCGCAGGACGCAGCACGCGTGGCACGTGCCACGGCACAGTCACACTGCGGGCAAGGCACAGCCTGACACTTGGGGTGCACCACGGGGCAGGTGGCACACAGGACACGGCATGTACCGTGCACGCGATGGTGCACGGCGTAGGGCAGGACAGTGCGTGGCACAGTATGCACCACGGGCAGGATGGTGCACGGCACGGCACGCACCGCAGGGTAGGATGGTGCACAGCACAGTATGCACCACGGGCAGGGCGATGCACGGCACAGGGCAGGATGGTGCACGGCACAGCACGCACCACGGGCAGGACGGTGCGTGGCACGGCACGCACCACAAGGCAGTGAGCACACAGCATGCATCACAGGCAGGGTGGTGCGTGGCCTGGCACACACCATGGTAGGATTGTGCATGGCACAAGGCACGATGGCACGGCACACACCACAGGCAGGACTGTGCATGGCACAGGGCACGATGGCATGGCACACACTATGGGCAAGACGGTGCGTGGCACGGTACACACCGTGGGCAGGACGGTGCATGGCACAGCACACACCGCAAGGCAGTGGGCACACAGCACGCGCCACAGGCAGGACGGTGCCACGGCACAGGGCAAGATGGCACGGCACACACCACGGCAGGACGGCGCCTGGCACGGCACACACCGCAGGCAGGACAGTGCATGGCACGGCACACAGCAAGTGGCAGCGCCGTGGCCGGCCGGAGCCGGCGGAGCTGGGCAGCTGCTGGGCGCAGCGGCGGGACGTACCCCTGCAGCCGGCCAGCGTGGCGGGTACGTACCGTAGGGCGGTCTGGCGGGCAGAGCGGGCGAGGCTGCTGGCGAAGGGGGCGGGCAGGGCGCTGGGGTGCTGCAGATCCTCGATGGACCTGCTCCAGACGCGCAGCTTCTCCAGCGCGCCATCCTCGCCGCCTTCCAGGCCCTCAAAATCCAACCTGGGTGGGACACGCGCGCCGGGGGGGGA